AGAAGGCTAGCATAACACATGTTTGGGTATGTCTGTGGTGGTGTCTGCAGAGACAATGAACTAAGGGGTAAGACCTCTCTGAATGTTGGCAGCACCATCCCGTAGGTGAGGGACCTAGATGAGATAAAAGAAGAAAAGGCAGGCATTGTGGGCATTCTCTCTGTGTGTTCCTGGCTGGCATGAGGCGAGTTATTCTTCTCCACCATGCCCTCTCCACTGTGATAGACTCAGAAACCCCACGCCAGAATAAATCTTTTCTCTGTTAAATTGTTTGGCTCATGTATTATATCATATCAAACACACACACACACCCTCCTCAAAAACAAAAATAAAAACCCGAACACTGAACTATGTGCCTATATAGTAAAATTTTGATGGAACTTAGGCATTTAGAATAATATAGTGAGGTAGTTTTGAAGTCACAGACACCCTCACTATACTTGGTTATAGTTTGATGACTTCTATTTTGAACAGGTTGTGTAAAGTCTGTGTTCTTTGTCATGATGACACCGAGGTCTCCATTCAGTTAGCTTACTGCTCACTAATGATAGGACAGAGGTTTCCCCAGGTGCCAGGGTGTAGGATGTTTCTCGCTGCGGGGCTTCTATGTATATGATGAGCCAAGCTGCCAGTGTTCCAGCAGGCAGTTGACAACTGTGCCTTAGCTTCTACTTTCCGTTTACATAAAACCTCAAATCAGAAGTGAGGCCCAGATTCTTCTAGGGTTTCTCTTGAGCACACAAGCCCTGTGCCTGGAGTGACCTCAGTTCTCAGGATATGTCAGAGTTTTTCCAAGCCAGCTATGAGCATCTGATTCCTTAGCTTTTCCTGCTAAGCTTTTCAAGCAGCTCATTGTTTGTCTGAACTCTTACCTCTCACTTCACTGTGTTATTGATTACTTCTCTTTATTTTCAACAGATGCCCTCAGAGAAAGGACTTTTGCAATGAGAAAATGAGCTGGCTATTGTCCTATTCTGGGTTCCTATCTACCCTCATTGTAAGAACTGAGTGGGCAAACAGCAAAGGGAAGCTAGGGGGAACTTCATTTTCATGCAGGAGTAATGCCTTAAACAGGAAAGTAAAAATTCACCTAAGAAGTAGAAACTCTGGGGCCCCCAGCAGCTACAGAATGGCAAACAAGAGGCTGTGGGTACCATAGCTCCATGTGCTCCAGCAGGTTTTAGGATACAACTCAGAAAAGTCAGTAGCAGAAACTCAGGTGCTAGAACTCTCTTAGGGCCTCAGATGCCAAATCAAGGAAAGTTCCTTCAGGACAGGTCTACAGAGACCTGCTACACCAGAGACCTGTGACCCCCAATAGCAGCAGGAGGCATGTGTGGAAGGCTGGGGTCACGGGTCTCTGGAGCAGCAGGTCTTGAAGGCTGGAGACAGCTGTAGAAACAAATACCTCTCATCAACTGGAGCATGGAGTCTTGCAGGCTGAGTCAGGAATGAGTCTGAGACAGAAGTCTGGTACAGTGAGTCTCAGCAGCATCTATCTTTGGAAAGTCTTGAAGGCAGTCTTCCTTTTCGAAAGAAAGCAGCATTTAGGAGCCTGTCTTCTGACCAGAGCCAACAACTGAGCTCTGAAGTCTTTACTCTCTTCCTCCTCTGATAGTCTGGCATGTCTCTTTCTCCCCTTCTTCCTCTGTGTTGTAAGGGGACTGGGAGAAGAACATGGGGAACCCTCCTTTGTGTGTGTGTGTGTGTGTGTGTGTGTGTGTGTGTGTGTGTTTCTGATGCTTTGAACTTGCTTTCAGCTGCATAACAGGGTCTCTATCTCAAGCCATCCAGTCTGTCACTACCAGCTATCAAACACATCCCACTATTTTAGGAATCCATTCTTACATGACTTCTTCTTTCTATGAGATTGATGTGGGATTGGGGTCCCTTCAATCAATTGTGGGAGTCTTAAACATAGCCTATCTCTGCCTTCTTGCCTTTGGGATTTCTGAACCTCTTCCTATTCCTATTTAAAAGTTCCAAAACAGGTTAGATACACATAGCCTTTCTTATGGGCCTTCTGGGAAACTACCAGATAGGAAATGGTTATATTTCTCTGAATCAAGAGCTTTGATAGAACTAAAAACCCATTCTGCCCCCCTCCAGGACCTAGCAGATGCTGATTTTTAGCCTTGTTATAGATTTTAAGGCCACTACAGAGTTGGGGAGTAGGTGAAACAAAACAGGTTAAAAATATCTATTTTTTTAAAGACTATATGCTTTTTATTTAATTTCTATGGAAATCTAGAAAACTTCAATATACAAACAGTAAACTGACAGTCACATTGAGTTAGTTGGGACTGAGGATTGAGGGAAACGAAACAAAGGAACCTTAGGAAAATGATAACACTCTAAAGCTGGATTATGGCAAATGGGTGTACTACTCCAAAAATTTATTTAAAATCCCCAAATAATATATTAGCTGTGGGTTTTGATATGTAAATCAGATTTTTTAAAAAGCTGTTTGGAGTTTTCCTTCCTTTTTTTCTTTCAAAAAATTGTTTTTATTGAGCTATATATTTTTCTTTGCCCCCTCCCCTTCTACCCTCTATGCAATGTAGGGTTGGTGAAGATCTCTTTTACTTACTTTCAAAACAAGATTTTTTTTTATGTGAATAAGTGTTTTTCCTACATGTATGCCTGCACACCACGTAGATGATTGGTGCCCATGGAGACGCCAGGAGATGGCATCAGATCTCCTGAAACTAGAGTTACACACAGTTGTCAACCACCATGGATATGCAAGAAACCGGACTGGGGTAACTGCAAGGACAGCAAGTGTTTTAACCACTGACTCTTCTCTCCAGTCCACTATCTGTTTTTTTTTTTAAATTGATTTTTATTGAGCTCTACATTTTTCTCTGCTTCCCTCCCTGCCTCTCCCCTCCCCGCCTCTCCCCTCCCCTTCAACCTTCTTCCAAGGTCCCTATGCTCCCAATTTACTCAGAAGATCTTGTCTTTTCTACTTGCCATGTAGATTAGATCTATGTATGTCTCTCTTAGGGTCCTCATTGTTGTCTAGGTTCTCTAGATTGTGATTTGTAGGCTGGTTTTCTTTGCTTTATGTTTAAAAACCACTTGTGAGTGAGTACATATGATGTTTGTCTTTCTGGATCTGGGTTACCTCACTCAAAATGATTTTTTTTCTAGCTCCATCCATTTTTCCTGCAAAATTCAAGATGCCGTTATTTTTTCTGCTGTGTAGTACTCCGTTGTGTAAATGTACCACATTTTCCTTATCAATTCTTCAGTCGAGGGGCATTTAGGTTGTTTCTAGGTTCTGGATATGACAAACAGTGCTGCTATCAACTTAGTTGAGCACATGTCCTTGTGGCATGATTGAGCATCCTTTGGATATGACAAGAACTTTAAATCTTTGAAGAAAAATATCTATTTTTAACTCATTCTCAGAAACCCTCTCTCTCTCTCTCTCTCTCTCTCTCTCTCTCTCTCTCTCTCTCTCTCCTTTTCTTGTTCAAGCCTTGGTTAACTCCAGAGTTTGAAAAAGTTGGATCATTTCTACTCATGCTTCTGTAGCTTCTATAAAGAGGCCTTTTACATGTACTTGTTCACCATGACTGTTGATATTTGAAAGTCATGTTCAATCTGAGGTTCATAGCCTATGGATTCCCCCAAAGCCAAGGTAAGTCTGTCCTTTGCCACTATGCCTTTTGCAGTGTTATTTGCAATAACACTAAAGCTCATAAATGAGGAACTTCCAAGGCAAGCATGTAAACTCTGAATTTCATACTATTGTGCAGCCAACAGTGATGAAGAGGGCATGTGTGAAGAAGGGGTAGAAAGCCAAGTTTCATACTTAGAAGGTCTATGTTTACTCCTAAGGTTATAGCTAGAGTCTTGGAGTGAGGCAATATGCCTCTGCAATTTTTATTTCCTCATCTACAACATGACAGAGCCATGGTGGTGAGTTGGGGTGTAAACAAAACATTCATGCTTAAGCTGTCATTGTGCTTGATGTTGCTGTTATTCAGTAGAAAACTCTTTTTGATATGGTGATCACTAAGATAGTAGGGTATGACATGGCGTCCATACACATGAAATATCTGATGTAAGATTTTGAAAACATGGAAATAGGGTGTGGTGGTTTGAATGAGAATGGCCCTCATAGGCTCATTTGTTTGAATTCTTGGTCCCCAGTGGTGGAACTATTTTGGATGAATTAGAAAGTGTGGTGTTCCTGAAGGACCTGTGTCACTGGGGGGCAGGCTTTGAGATTTCGGAAGACTCTCCCTTCCCAGTCTCTCTCTCTCTCTCTCTCCCTCACTCCCTCCTTCCCTCGCTCTCTCTGCCTCCTATTTATGGATCAAGATGTGAACTCTCAGCTGTTCTTGCTGACATGCCTTTGTTCTGCCATCATGGACTCTAACCCTCTGAAACTGTAAGTCCCAAATTAAACTCTCTCTTTTATAAGTTGCCTTTTTCATGGTGTCTCATTACAGTAATAGAACAGTAACTATCCAAGGAAATTTCGTTGGTGCAAAGCATGGAAAAGCTATGTTTGGAAGAGAAGATAGCGCAGTGAGAGGATTATAAACTGCTTCTCTTTCCTCCTTCCCCTGACAAAATTACTAATTTTGTTTTATTGAAGATGGTTTAAGTAAGAAATTCTCCTTGGAGAGGCAGAGCTTCCTACATGCAGCTTTAGGGACTTTGGGGTCACCATTAGTCCTGAATTTCAGAGAGCCAGATTGTGTGAGTCTTTTTAAGGACCTCTTGTATTTTAAGTCCTACCTAGGTTCCTGCTGCTTCCTGGGGAGGCTCAGGAGGAGTTGAGCTCCTAGTGAACCTCTAGATTCTGATGTCTAAAGGTAGAGCCTTTCTTTGTGGGTCCTCTACTTTATCGCCTGGCAATCCAGAGCAGTGGTGTTACCTTCCCATACTCACATGAAGAGTGATATACCAGCAGTTCCACGAATCTGTTCTGGGTTATGCCAGCAACCTCTATGACTGTCACCATGCTTGTTGTTCTGTTTCAGATTCCGGGGTGCACCGGTTATTCCTGTGGCAGCCAAGCCTGGAGGACCAGAGGCCCCTGAAACAGAAGCCCCACAGGGCATCTCAGAACTCATTGAGGTACTGTCAGCTTGAACTCATGTTACCCTCTGCTCCAACCCTGCTCCAGTAGCCCTCCATATCTCCCTCTGCCTGAGAGGAAGGGAGAGGCAACCCTAGCAAAAGGTTTCCAAGTTTCATGGGCCTTCCACTCACTCTGATGTCAGACTCCTCACCTCCCTCAGAAACTCCAAAACAAAGGCCCATAGAACCCCTGGGTGTTAGACTGCACAGAGTTCTTCCCACCCACTGTGTATTCTATTCTATCCCTTCTCTTTCACACACTTTCATTTAAAGTGCTACCTTCCAAGGTTACCAGTCCCTCAAGCCTACCATTCTCCCACTCTTTCTCCTCATCCCTCAGCGGAGACTCGGCCCAGTGCAGCATATCTGATCACAGGTCCATTCCTGTCCTTCAGATTGTGCTAGTTTCTCTAGTCTGCTTGCAACTGAAGCAGCACAGCCTCCATCCTGACAGCCTCCACTGGAGGAGTAGACATTTCATTTTGCCGAACTATGGGCTTAAGACTCGGGCTTTTTCTCCTTGCTCAGTGGCAGTGGACAGAGACAGGGAGCCCAGTCATCCAGGTGAGCCAGTGCCCTTTCCTTCTCACTGAGCAGAGAGTGCTGAGAGCATAGCAGAAGCCCAGAGCTTAGTAATGGTAACCAGCTTGCCAGGGAATGAGACTTCCATCCAGGTATCACCCTGGTGTTCCTAGTGAATACTAGTTTGACCACTGTCCTTGTCCAGCAGACAGGGATGCGTGCAGGGTGATAAAGATAGTGATGTGAAGGAAGAAGGTGGTAAGAAGGAAGAACAGAGTCACTTCCCTGAGCTCAGTCACTGGCATGGGTGCAGGGGCTCTGTACTAGACTGTGCTAGTGCTGGCCTACACTGCTCTCTGACAGGACTCAAGTGATTCTAGGTGTGGTCGCACACATCCTTAGAGGCTAAGGTCAGAAGATGGGAAGTTTGAGGCCAGCCTACTTAGTGAGACCTCTTCTCAAACAGCAGGTATCAGGTAATCCATTTCTTGCAGTGAACAAAGTTGCAGTACAGAGAAGGTAATGGCACTGTCACAGAGATGCTGTGTGGCCAATTGAGTTACTAGGGGTGATATGTTTACCACAACAGTGACATGATTTGACATACCAGTCTCCACACTTAAGTTCTTATCATACTGGGCCTGCAACATTTTCAACAGCTGGAAGGCTGAGAAAGTGAGTTCAGAGTCATGAAATAACCTGCCCCAGGCACTTCATGGCAAGTGTATGAGCACATCCCCTCCTGAGACATCTGATCTATGGTCCTAGTGTCATGCACTGTCCTTGCCTGGGAAGCAGGATTGCAAGATTGCTAACGTGGCCCCCCAGGTGTCACACAGGTCTCATCTGTCGTGCATCCTCTTCCCCCTCATCAAGCACCCATGATAGATAGGCAAGTGTGGAACGTCAACTTCTCGTAGAGAAGTTACTTCCTCTTGAGAGGCTTCTCCTTCAGGGCTGAGTCTCCCCACCTATCACATCCCCATGCCCCCACTATATGAAATAAACTGATAGGGGCAATTGTGCTATTGCTGCCCCTTTCTGTTTGGGCAGGATCTCGTTAAGTAGCTCAAGCTGGCCTAGAACTTTCTGTCTTCCATTCTGAACCTTACAAAGGTTTGTAACACAATGCCCAGAGTTCCTACTTTATGTGAAAGAACAGAAGAAAGAAAATAGATCATTTATTTACCTGCTTATCTTAGTGGGAACTCAGACCCAGACCAATGGTCAGACTTCGTTGGGGTCACCTGCACCCAGATCTCCAGAGCTAAGTTCACATGTAACTGCCATGTACTGGTCATGCCTATATTTCACACCTAAGAAATGTTTTCTGGAAGATGCACTTGTTACTCCACCAGTTTTAGAGAACACAAATTTGGGATCCTGGGATAATTCAAGCAAAATCCAGAAAAATATAACTATGAAAGATATTTGTATGTTCCTTTAAGGAATGAGTCTCTGTGTAAATCTCAGACCAAGTCTCTTCTGATTCTCTCCATTTTTCCCCCAAAGGAGTTGTTATCATGAGACAATGCTTTGAGAACATTTATTCCTGACCTGAATACTTAGACATCATTACTACTCCCTCATGAAATCAGAAAGTAGAAAATACAAAGAGCAGTGTGGTCTCTCCTCTGCACTTTTATCAAAAATAGTGATTAGCTCTGACTGTATCTCAAGCACGTAAATGACCTGAGGAGCAGTGGCCAGTTGGTGCTGTTGCATATGGAAAGTGAGCCATGAAGGAAAGGTGGAATCAAGTCACAGTAGCTTCAGGACTGAGTTAACTTAGATCTCCGTTTGTTAGGGCCTGGAAGAGGGCAGAAAGACTCCATAGCGCAATCACAGACCTTGGCCTTGGACCTCAGGCATAGGCTGCTGCCTCTGGAAGCCAGCCTTATCCTCTTTCACCTCAAGTTCTCCCTCCTTTGTCCTTCGCTCACATGCCTTTTCACCACAGGATGGAGGCCTCACCGAGTCCCTGTTTCCTCTCACTGAGTTAAGTTACAGTATTGGTTCTTTGATCTGGGCCAGCTTGCCAGGTAGCCCTGGAGGATGGCAGTGACATAGCCTTCATGCCTGTACGTAGCTATAGCAATATTTCTTTTCCAGCTCCTGAAGTCCCAGATTTCCATCCCAGCAAGAGACCCCTCGGGACCGTTCCTTATGTCTGTGGACCACTGCTTCTCCATCAAGGGTCAGGGCACCGTGATGACTGGAACCATCCTTTCAGGCACTATTAGCCTCGGGGACAGTGTGGAGATCCCTGCCCTCAAGGTCAGTCCTGCCTTGACTTTCCTTTGTTCCCTATAACAGCAGGGGAGAGGACAGGGCCTTGGTTTTTAGGACAGCAGAGTGTACTGAACCTTTCCTAAGTCTTTTCTCCTACCTGAGAGGTGAGGTCATGGGCAGCTCTGAGACACTATCCACTGTTCAACCATTCTGGATTCTAGAACTGCAGTGACTATGTGGTAGGGGCTAATTGGGGCTCATCTGAGAGGTTCCCAAGATAAAGATGCTGTGTCTTCAGGGGTAAGGTGAATTTTAAGAGCATATGGCCAAGAAACTAGGGTGTCAGGGTGAAAGTCTAAGCTTTCTGAATGTTGGCAACAAGTGTGATAGAACTATTTTTTCATCCGTTGTACCCCAGGCTAGCCTTGAATTTGTGATTATCCTGCCTCAGCCTCCTCAGAGCTAACATTACGCTTGTGCGTGTGTGTGTGTGTGTGTGTGTGTGTGTGTGTGTGTGTGTGTGTGCCACTAAACCTAGCTTTAGAGCTCAGGCACCTTTTTCTTAGCTAAGGATCTTAAATCCCTTGCAGTTTTGGTGCAGTCATCCACTATGCCAGTAATCCAGATCACTCTGCCTTCTCAGTGACCACAGCAGGTGCCCTGAAAGCTCTTTGAATACCCTTAGGAAGAATGGAGGCTTATGTTCTCCCCATCTTCTCCTTCTCCAGGTACCATGCCCTGTTTGACTTTGATAATGACTTTATTCAGAAGGTATTACTTAATTAGACCTAGTGGTACCTATCTGTAATCCCAGCTATTAAAGAAGCTGAGGCTGGGGACCTTAATATGCTCCTGACTCTAAGAGAAAAAGTGTATGTGTTGGGGCAGGGGGAGTGAACCTGACAAGAGCTCAGTGGTGGAGTGCTTGCCTAGCGTAAGATCTTACAGCAAAATCTGCCCATGTTTAAGCATTATGTCTGGGCACTGAGCAAGCAGACCAAAGCTCAGCCCTTGTCCTGACCAAGAAAGGGTCACCATATTCCTGTACCTTGTGCCATCTCTGGTTTAGAACCGTGTGGTTGGGCACAAGAAAGGGCATTTTCTAGGAACAGAGATGAATAGTGTTGTACGTCACGTGAAGGAAGGTAGAAGGAAGCAGGGAGATCCAATTTGGGCGTGGGGAGAGGCTGAGTTCTTATAAATCTGGAGACTCTGTGGATGATGCAGTCAGAACTGGGCAGCAAGACCCTGTCCTTTCCTAAGGATAATTGTAGATTAAAATCCTCTTCTCTTCCCCTAGTGTAGATATTCCTCTGAAGATCACATAAATTGAAGCCTTTTAAAGCCAGGGGTTGCAAGTATAGATTGTACAAAATAAAGCATAAAATTATGAAAATTGAAAACAAGAATAGAGTTGTGACTTTGTGACTCTTAGTTGGAACAGAAAGAAAATTGATGCTAAATTTTTGAACAATTCCTGTGTTCAGCAAGGTAGCTACCTAGACTAGCTCCTTCCACTCTGGGCAAACAAAATTGGCAGCTTGAGAGAGGAACTAAAGATAGGAAAGAGGTGTGATGGGGCTCTCAGTGGTGAGCTTTGATATAGGGGTCTGCTGGGCATTTGAGGGAGTAGAGAAGGCTTTTGATAGCAGAGTCAGTAGCTGCAGGGCCGAGAACAAGGGCTTGGAGGGAAGATAAAACCAACATTCCTCATCCTGGAAAGGCAGACAGACATTTGTGTTGAGATATGCTTTGAAACTCCTGGCCACCTCTTTTACCCATTAAGGTACAATTTGCCCATCTACATTCTGACCTGTAGCCCTCAAGCTTGTGACAGATGTTTAGCACCTGCACATCTAGCTCTTCGCTTGCTGTGGTATACCTGTATTCCCAGATGACTTCTCAGGAATCTTACTGGTCAGGGAAAGCAGAACTTGTGATATATTTGGATAGTCTGCTAAGATTTTCAAGCACACTGTGGAAGATGCAGCCTTCTCTTTTCCACTTAAAAGTGAGGTGTGGGGAGAAAGTAGCGAATCAAGGAAGTGCTGTTAAGGTGTGGTTAGTCCACAGCTTCTCAGACTGTTTAGACTGCTAAGGACACTGGAATTAGGGGACGGCTGTTGAGAAAGCATAACTGTAGTGGGGGGCTTCCTTTCATTGAAAACATTAGGGTGTGCCTGGTGGACCAGTCAAGCGTCTCAGAAGAAGCTGGGATGGAAGAGGGCTTATTGAGGAAGGATGTGTGGGACCCCACCTGTTTAATAGCACAGGTTGCTGTGTGTACATGGCATACCCTACATGTCAGAGACTTGAACTAGCAGCATCCCTGGACAGGAAGGTGCAGAGACCTGACCAAATGAGAAGAAAAAAAGGCTTTTGGGCTGGGATACTACACACAGGAAGTGATAGTCCTTCTTGGCTTAAAAATTCATGATATCCTTTAAAAATATATATATATATATGAGTTAAAAAAAAAAAACTATGACAACTCTAAGCACAGAACCAGAGAAGTGGGTCTGGGATTGGACTGTTGTGTCCTGCCCCCAGACAAGGCCTATCATGTGCCCAGAAGCTTTGTGGGCATGTTGACATTCTCTTCAGAGGCTCTCATGGGCTGCAAGTGCACAGAAGCTCACCTCGGAGCCTAAGTCCCAGTTTCTTGACCTATAACCCCTCCATTGGCTGTGATTCGTGACCAGTGCCTGTCAAGCCTGTCAAGCATGAAAGGCATCATAAATCGTGGCCTTCTTCCCAAGCACAGTACCATCCTTGTCAGATTTTACTAATAGATGCGGACACATCTGACCGCGTGAACTCCCTTGGAGGCAGGACACAGCCATTCCAAATAAACAGTGCATTCCCTCAGCCATACCTTGGCCTGTTTCTGCTGCCATGTCCATTCCCAGCTGGGGCTGATTAGCTGAGTGAGGAAATGTTGGGGGAACAAGGAGTAAATAAAGAGCGGGGAATTCTCATTTAGATCCCAGAAAGGTTTTAACAGCAAACATCCCGAGAGTTACAGCTTTCTGGCTGTCTTGGGTCTATAGGTTAGGGGATCCCTCTGGTGAGATTTTATCTGGGGATTGTATGCGAGTCATATTCCTGATGGTGATTGACTACTGGGTTGTAATACCAGAAACTGTCAGAGCCTCAGACATGGGAAAGAGCATGCTGGAAGTTCAGAACACACCTGGTATCTTCCTGCTCTTTGGGCTAAGGCAATTTGCTTAACCTCTCTGTGCTACAGTGATTTAGTGCTGACAAACTGTGCTTGCTTCTGGCCAGGGTTATGGAGCAAGGGATTTGGGAGGATTGGGGTAGTGTTTGGAAAGGCTTTTGCACTAGGAGTGGCAGTATCAGAGTTAACATTTTTGGCTCTTTGTCACCTCTTGGTGTCACATGGGGAACTCTTTTTGTAGATTCAGAGAGATAAATGTGGTGTGGTCTGGCTGTAAAGACACTATCACTAAGGACTGCTGGAGGACTTTCTGAAATGTGATGTCCTTTGCAGACAGCTCAGCCGTTGCTGGGATAATGGTGAGATGTATTAGTAGCATAATAGATACTTAGTTTATGAGACATGTAGAGGGTCAGAATTTGATAGTGTATTCCTCCAAAGTTGTTATGGTCAGACTTATTTTGCTCTAGAGATGACTAGGAAAACCTTGACACTTAGGGCATTGTTGCTTTTACCTTTGTCTTGGCTCTTAGAAATTGGTAACTATGTGGCTGAGATTATAACATATGGGAAGAATAATTTTCCTCACATTCCACAGACCTCTCCTTCCTTCTACTACTATTTCTTTTTTAAAATAAAAAAGAATTGAGACAGGGTCGCATTATATACCCCTATAGCCTATAACTCAATATGTAGATCATGCTATCTTTGAACTCAGAGATTTGCCTACCTCTGCCTTCAAGCACAGAGATTATAGGCTTGTGCCACAGAGGCTGGTTCTGTCCACTTTTCTTATCTCAGCCTTGGTATACTCTGCTAACAGTCCCTAAGGTCCTTTGTACTCTCAAAACTGCAGGCCTCTCCCCCTTTGGAAAGCTGCCCTCCTGACCTGGGCCTGTGAGCACTCAGCCCAACACTCAGCTTGCTATGACAATATTTGTCCCTGAGTTTTTATTTCCATTGATGCTGACCTCCTACCTGTCCATCTGTCCTCAGGATTAGTCCCTGGATGACCCTACAAAATATGTGATTAATAGGACAAAAAGTCCCTAGAGTGATATAGATATGAATAATTTACATTTGTATAAATTTTACTTTATTGATACAAGTTTAAGGTCAATTTTGTTATGTGTGTGTATTTCTGATATTGATTAAGGTATTGTGATTGTATAGTTCATTTAAAAATGTAATGTATAATTAGGAAATATAGGTTGTTAATGAATAATCGATAAGAGTCAAGCTTGTAGTCATGTTAGTTATATTTTCTAGATATATAGAGATATATTTTTGTTAGATAGGCATTCTTCATATCTTTCAAAGACTACAGAATATGGCATTTAATGTTTTAATAACTTAGGGCTTTTCAAGACAGTGAGACACATCTGCTCCTGGCAGCACCAATCTACTTCAAGAGGAAGATGGGCATTGAAGAGACTCCTTATGGAGTTGGTTAGCCATTTGGGCAAGAAACTGCTCTTGCCTGGACTGTCGCATAAACTGGAGATAAAGAACCCACAGAGAGAGGACTGCTGAACTTGCCTAAAGGTGATATGGTCTTTCGGGGTTCCTGATTCCTGAAAGAGTCTGCGAAACATTCTGCAGGATAAAGCAGATAGTGACTGAACTGACTTTGAAATTTTCTGCTTTATGGAAATGTCTACTGGAAACTATGGGCCTGTAGGCTGAAGATGGATGCCCCAACGATACAAAAGAACTTTGAGTGATTGTACAGGCAGCGAGATGTCTCTGTCATTTCTAGAGTTTTGGAAGTTGTTTATTTCTTGCTTGCTTAGGTAATATTATATCCTTCTGGAGTCTTTGATGGAGTTGAAGAATAGATAGATATAGTTTTCCTTAGTTATGA